AAAAGAAATAAATACCTTGTTCATAAAAGCCCTGAAGTTGGAAAATGAAGGTCAGGCAGTCGACGTCTTTGCACCTTGGAAACGAAGCAGCGGTGAAGAAAATCGGCTTTGCACGGTGGCTGGAGAAAATCGACAGCAAACGACGAAAGAGAATCGACAGCATTTAATTCATTTAACAAAATTGGAAGTTGTTAATTGGTGAGAGAAAAAAATCTTTTTTGAAGGAGAGATTTGAGAAATTAAGGTTGAAATTTTGAATGGAGCCCACAAGAATTAAATGAATATAATTACAAATTAAGAATTCAAATCTTTAAAATTTAAAAATTATAATAAAATAAAAAGCAATAAATAAGGGTAGAAACGATATTAAAATAAAATTCTAACTGCAAATATCTAAAAGTGTAAATTTTGAAACCGAAACACATTCATAATTAAGATTTCAAAATATCCCTCCCAAGATATTATCTCTTCAAAGTTTGTTTTTTTTATATTATATCTAAATGGGGCTATGAGGAGGATCTTTGCCTCCCCATTTTGCCCCCAACTTTTTAAGATATACCAAGTTTACCCTTTATCTATATTATATATTATTCTATATACCTTTTATATGTGATGCTATTATTTAAATGAGGTAGAGAAGTAGTACGTTGAAAAAGTATGACTACTATTCGTTTACAAACCATTTATAGAAGCAGTCCGTTGATGAAGAGGTATGACTGTTCTTCCTTGACAAAGGAAAAAATGTAAATTAAAAACTCATATCTTCTTTTCTCGAAAATGTCTACAAAAATCGTTCTTTTACCAAATAACTCATACATTTACAAAAGGATTGAAAATTAAAAGTTTTTGTTTTTCGTAGGGGAAACGAAGCATGCCAAAATTAAGATTTGTGAATATAAAAATTAATTTTAGCGAGGTAAAGTATAAAAATTGATGTGAATTATGATCGTTATGTTTTATAAATTTATGTAAATTATTGTATTGTTATCCTATTATGAGTAGTTTTTTTTTTTTTTTTAAACAGACAATTGTTGTTCTCTCACTATAAAATTATATTTAATATTTATATTTGTATGTTCTTTTCATGATCTTTTGGATTTTTTATTTTATGTTTATATTTTTTTTTATCCTAAAAAAAGGAATAAACATTACACTTTCATGGCCAAGATATAATCATCTTCCTTCTACATTGCCCATTAACTCTAAATGAACATTTATGTTTAGATGAATTTAAGAATAGATAGAAAAATTGACTATATAACGCTTTTTTTTTCTTCTGCAATTCAGCCATAGCAGTTGTAAGACAATGCCTCTGTCCAAAGAGACAACAAGTTCGTTTAAGTTGTTCTCATGATTTTGTCTATTTCGTCTGCTGAAAAAACATCCATCTTCATCGGTCGCGAAGGCTGAAATTTAAATATATATATTGTATTTATTAATTTTAATTTTTGGATTTCTAAATTGATGTTAAATTTCTATTGAGTATCTGTTTCGTAGATTGATGTGGGTAGTTACTGTTATCTTTAACTACTTTTAGATTCTGTGTTTATATTTTTCAATTTTGTACTATTTGAATTCCAAAATCTATTTAATCTATTAAAAAGGTAGAGTATAAAAGTATGTCTCTTAGGATTTAACTTTTAGTTATTTTTAGATTATTTTAATATTTTTATATAGATTATTTTCAATTATATATATTCATGATATGTTCGTGTTTTAATATTTAGTTAAGGTTCTTTTCAAGTTTAATTTAATATTCAGTTATTCTTTTGTCGAGCTTTAAAATATATTCATGTTATATTTTAGTATTATTTTTCTTATTTATCTTAATATGTTTTATTCCTATTTTATTTTTATCCCATATTTTTTTTAATGATTTGAGGGTAGTACGCATTATTCAGTTTCTTTCTAAAATTTCAATTATTTAATTTCTCTTATTTGAGATTTTATTTTTATATTTAAAAGGTACAATATCATTTATATTTATCATTTTAAAAATAAAAAAATGATATTTGATTTGTCAATTTTCAATTTTAAAAAGTAGCTCAAGAGTAATAAACGGTCAATTTTATTTATTCCTATTACAATTTTGACTATCTAACAAATAATTTCATTGTTCGGATATTTAGTTACATAATTTGATTTAATGTATCATATTTTAGATTTACTTATTTTTAAAATTATAAAAATATTTTTAATTAAAAGTTAATACCCACATTTATTATTTCAAATTTAGATCATATTCAATGTTTTTTACCCATCTTATTTTATTGTCTTATTTTTTAGTTGAAATATTGTATTTTTTATATAAAATATCAACGAATACTAACATATTTTATTTGAAAAACTAAATATTAGTACCATTTAAAATTCGGTTTAGTTATCATCCTATAGGTTAAATATTAGAAACATTGTATTAAAATATTTAAAACCACGTGCATTGCACGTGGTATTAACTAGTTTTCATAAATTTAGGTATACAATGAACCGACCCGACCGACATGGTTAGGGTCGAATCTGACAGTAATTCGGTTTGAAGGTCATTACTCATTGGTGCGCCGCTTTGGGAGGGAAAAAAAACGAAAAAACCCACAACCCGATCCGACGATACCCGGGAAATCCAATTTAACCCTTTTATTTTTGTATTTTGAGTTAAAATTTTGACAGAAAAGTTTGTATAATCGGCTTGGATGGTTCGTCTCAAAGCCTCACCGCCTCCGGTGGCTGGTTTCTTCTCCGTTCTGTCCATCTCGCGCTGAGAACCAGAGGTTTAAGCTCTCCGCCTCCACCATTTTCCCGGATTTTTTCCGAATTCAATATTGATTTCTGTAACCATTTCCGGAATTCTTTGAAGTTTTCCGGTAGTCGGATAATAGTGAATTGAGTTGGAGATTAGGGAGCAGAAAGAGTAGGAAGTAATCGTTACGTCGGGGGAGTTTCGTTCATTTCGGTGGAGCACGGGAAGAGATACATATATTGTGTTGCTGAGGGCTCCGATTTTCTGATAAGACAGTACGTTGAAGTATTTTCCTCACTCTGGCTTTTTGTTCACTTAACTTTGAATCGGTTTGATTGCAATTAGTTGCATGGTTAGGTCATTTATAATGATGAACTGTTCCCATATTTAAATTTTGATTGTTTCTTTTCGTCTGCATATAGTATTCTGCTTGCTGTCAGGTTAATTGAGAGCTAAGTTTCTGCTGCTTCTTTTTGTAACGTGGTTTAGATTCCTTTAGTTTTCTGCTCTTTGCTCTTTCCTCTTTTGGGAATGATAAGGGATTATGGTTCTAAGTTGATTCTGCTTTACCGCCCCCCCACCATCGCATTTAGGTATAAACGTGGTAAGTTGTGTGTGATTTTTGGTGCAATTAATTGAATTTTCACTGCTTGGCGTGTATGTTTAATTTTAATATATATATATATATATATATTTTTTTTTTTTTGATATTTGGGTACCTCAAGTGCAATATTGAATGCGTTGATAAATTTATTAGATAATATATTACTCTGTGCCTGGTGATGGTTTCATGCTTAACTTGATTTTTATGTTGTTTTCTTGTGCCGAGAAATATTTGTTTTAGGTTTCATATAAATTTGGGTCGTTCTTTTAAGTTTCGTGTGCTGCTTCTTAAATTTGATTCTTGCAATTTCATCGTCTCGTTTTAGATGGCCAGATGGGATGAGATTTTTTCTCTTCCAGTACAGAACCCTCCTACCTTAGAATTTTCTTCAGCTGATCTTGTATGGTCGAAGGTAGAAGGATGGCGCGACAACATGGACAGAGTTGCTGTAATACCTTTTGCGAGAGTTGACGATTTTGTACGTGGTGAATCTTCAAACCAAGAATGTCCAACCAGATTTCATGTTGAAGCAAGGCGACGGCGAGCATCGGCAGCACCTTTCAAGCTAAAGGTTGATGGTGTACTGGAATACATTTTGTAAGTCCCATATATATATATATGGACGTACGTATATTTTTGTATAGTTTTTTTTTTTGTTGTTTCTTCAAATTCAAGAAGTTTAGTTATTTCATTGAATATATAGGTATTGGTGTTCGTTTGGTCCGGATGACCACAGGAAGGGGGGTATTGTACGACCCAGTAGAAGTACTTATGTACCAAAAAAGAAAAATGCCGGGCGGCCAAACACTAAAAGGGGCTGCACTTGCCACTTTATTGTCAAACGCTTAATTGCTGAACCATCTATTGCACTTATCATATATAATGAGGACAAGCATGTAGATAAGAAGGGATTGCCATGCCATGGTCCTCAAGACAAGAAGGCTGAAGGTACTCGTGCTATGTTTGCACCTTACATCTCTGAAGATCTTCGTCTACGTGTATTATCACTTCTACATGTTGGTGTATCTGTGGAGACCATAATGCAGAGACATAATGAGTCGGTGGAGAAACAGGGTGGCCCATGCAACCGTGATGACCTTTTAACCCATAGGTATGTAAGAAGACAGGAGAGAAGCATTAGGCGTTCCACTCATGAACTTGATGAAGATGATGCAGTAAGCATTTGCAAATGGGTCGAAGGCCATGGTAGTAATGTTTTCTTTTATGAAGATTTTACTGATACGGACACCTTTACTTTGGGAATTCAAACGGAGTGGCAATTGCAACAAATGATACGATTTGGCAACCGTGGCCTTCTTGCTTCAGATTCCAGGTTTGGAACAAATAAGTTGAAGGTATATCAATCAATTTTTATGTCTAAGTTCTTTCAACATTATTATATATATGATCCATTTCCAATTCCAGATGATGCTATTGCTAATTATTCTTTTTCTGCATTTTTGTCTAGTATCCAGTTCATAGTCTGGTAGTATTCAATTTAGAGTACAAAGCGATTCCAGTAGCTTGGATTATATCACCTAGATTTGCTAGTGGGGATGCCCATAGGTGGATGAGGGCTCTTTACGGTAGAGTTCAAACCAAAGATCCCACTTGGAAGTTGGCCGGCTTTGTTGTGGATGATCCTCTTGCTGATGTACCGACAATCAGGTACATGATAAGCTTGTCCCAGATCTGTTAGATGATACATTGAGCTCACGGAGTCAAAAGATAACCTGCTTAATAGTTCATTAATTATCCATAACTTTAGGCTTAATTGCTTTCTTCCTTCTGCCTGTTGCCCTGGTTAGAAATGCTTATTTATTCATACCATCTTGTTAAAGTTTTGTTGGATGTGAGAAGAATGTGCTAACTTCTATTTTTGAACTATTTGATGGATTTTTAAATCAACCATAAATCCACTTAAGGAGTGCAATTGATATTTTTTTAATTTATTCTTCATTTGGGGGGGGGGAGGGGGGTTGCTTCTAAGTTCTTTTTGCACCTGCAAAGGGGTTTTAAGTTCAATTAATTAGTTCGACCTTTTATTGGTGAGCGTGAAAGCTTATAATTAATGCAAATCAAGCTATTCTACATTATTGAAAGTTTCAATACTGTTCAGTAAAAATAACTTAGAATTGCTTTCATTTCCATTCAAGTATGCCGCCCTCAGGTGTATGAGTATTTCTTTGATTTTATTCAGGGAGATATTTCAGTGCTCTGTTTTGTTAAGCTTTTGGCGTGTCCGCCATGCATGGCATAAAAACATAATGAAGAAATGTGTGGAAATTGAGAAGCAAGCTAAGATATTAAGACAGCTTGCGCAAGCAGTGGATAGACTTTGCCGAGGCGATGGAACTGTGGATTTATTTGAACAGCTCATTAAAGATCAAGTTGATAGTCCCGATTTTATTGACTACTTTAAGGCAACCTGGAGTCCTAGACTAGGTCTGTTTCTATCTCTGTTCTCTAATCACTAGTTTTTCTTAGAAAGGGCGTTACTTTCCACTTTATCATACTTGCTGGATTTTTTTTGCCATCATATTATTCACTATATATCTGCAGAATTTATATCATCCAGAGTTTTATAATGACCCTAAATTGACAATGACCCTTTGACAATTAAGGTGATTATTTGCACAATTCCATTATAATTGACTTTAGACATGGTAAATGTGGGTGGACTGTGCACGACAGTATCACATTCAAGCACACAAATTTTGTTCCTTTGTTCTTTTTCTTTTTGAAGGGAGGATGGGTTATCATCTGGAAACAAATGTGTTCCAGGAGTTAGTTTGACAATTGTTTGTGAATATTGGTTTTGGATGCAAGATGTAATTACGTGTACAACAATGGCCAGGAAGCATATCGAAATACTTACCATCTGAACTTTTTGTTGGTCTTAGGGATGTGGACTACTGCACTGAAACACCTTCCACTCACCAGTCTTGAAACATGTGCTGCAATGGAGTTTTACCATAGTCAGTTGAGACTTAGATTGCTGAATGAGGAAGATGGTGCTGTTTATCAACGCACAGACTGGTTGGTTGATAAGCTGGGTACAAAGGTACATTCTTACTTCTGGCTTGATGAGTACTCAGAGAAGAACAATTTTTCTCGGTATTGGAAAGACGAGTGGATGAGTGGTTTGACATATTGGCGCAGAGCGTTTAGAATTCCAGATTCTGATGTTGTCATTGAAGGTGGTATTGCAAAAGTTACTGACCAAATTACTCGAGACAGGAAATTTGTTGTTTGGAATCCTGGTTTGCAGTTTGGTCTTTGTGATTGCAGATGGGCAGAAATGGGTAATTTATGTGAGCATATGTGCAAAGTTATTAATGTATGTCGTAAGGAAGGGACTGCTAAACCATCCATCAGCCTATTGCAGTACCAGAAGGCCTTGACTGACATGCTACGTTGTCCACCTCATGATTCCTTAATGCGTGATCATGCTGTATCTTTTGCAGTGTCAGTTCAGAAGCAGTTGAATGCACTATTCAGTACGGGAAGCAACCAGGATCGTGGGAATCCTTTTCAGGACCATATTATAAAAACCACAGAACATCAAACTAATAGAGAAGTCTCTACTGGAGGCACAGGGTTTTTGAATGATAATGTACTTAGAAACAACTCCGAGTCAAGTCAGACAGAGACTGAGCATGCCTCTGGACAAGAAGCTTCTCATAATATTACTGATAACGCTGGTAATGAGCCTGTTGATTTAACTGTGAGTGAAAACGGTATGGCTGGTGAAACTGCTGGGGAAGAATGCCCCTGTGCTGAAATGGATGTTGATACAACATCAATCTGTATATCACCACCTCGGCTAAATTCTGTTGAAGAGGTCGTAAGCGGTGGTTCCTTCCAACAAAGTACAAGTAGAATTCAAATTGATATTGAGTATGAAACTCTACCTTCCAGATATGATTCTCTCTGTGATCTAAGTAAATTAGTAGACAATCAAAGTTATCAAGAAAAGATAGATGTAGATCCTTCACCCATTAATGATCCTATAATGGCAGCTGATTTTGTGAACCAGTGCATGACGAATTCTCAGAATGGCATTTTCAGTGATGGTCCTGAGCCTACTGTTGCCTCATAGATAATGATTCCCATTCTGTTCCAGCAACAGCATCTAAAGATATGGAAATCCAAGAAAAAGAAAGGTCACACGATCCTACAATCAATTGATTGAGTTATTTTGAGATGGAAAAATGGTCGATCGTTTGGTCATGCTGCTAAAGTGGGCACCCTGATGCAAAAATGGTTTCTCCCATGTCAGTTATAAACTCTGGGTGCTCTTCAAGCTTTAGAATGCTGTTGCGATGCAAAGTTGCAGGGCTGGTCGCGTAACTACTGGTCCTAAATTCATCTGGGCATAATTCTTTCCAAGTTTAGGAATGAAGCTGCTCAAAATTTTCTCCATCTGTCATCGGCTTTGCCCATGGTAAGATTTCACTTTGTTTGATATTGATGGAGTTTGCAAACTGATGAAATTTCATTGGACAGATGAGGTCCAGCCCTCTGAATTTAAGCATGAAGTTTCAGACCAGCAGCCATATAGGATGTTTTTTATTTTGAACTCCGTATATGAAACCCTGGAATTCTTACTGCATTTCCATGATACCATGGCTACATCTGAGTAGGGACCGAATCGCTGCCTGGCTATACTTTCTGGATGTTCCTACACCAATGATGATATTCTATTTTCAGTATTGACTCTACAAATGAAGTACTATTTATACAAAGAGCTACATGGCACATGAAATGAGATGACATATGGAAGGGTAAGAGGGATGGGGCGAGGGAACAGTCAATTAGGTTCCTGTTCATATATGATTGGTTTCTGCTAAATGATTCAAGTAACTTAGATTGATGGTTGCTTAACTTCAAATGTCTTTAGGCAGACAATGAGATTTCTATCAACGAAGATGCCATTTCATTGAGACAGATGAAGCTTTCCTACTGTTCTCGAGTTATATTGTAAAAAGTTTGACGTGGTATGGTTTCAAATTGCGGGATCATTGCTTTAGGCTCTGCTTGCCTAAATTTTACTTGACAAGACTGATGTAACGACCAGATTCTGTGATTCGCGGGAAGCCTTGGAGCCTCTTGTAGTTTGTTATCAACCAACTCTTATACTGCAGACTGTAGAGAAGACTATTTCCGCAGCCAAGTTAAACATCATAGAGGTAAAAGTAAAAGTAAAAGGTTATGAATTTGTCCAAATCGATGGGTTCAAAATCCTTCTGAGATCACTGACTTATTATTTTCTTTTTTCCTATTAAATCTTGTGGGTTCTGGATTGTTTCTTAAGTTAAATGAAGGGCTGACAATGACCAGAGGATCAATATACTGCAGCTTGAAACCGAATCTGTCAGCTTTGTTTGTCTCTGCTTTGTCTCTCCATCTGGGTAATGCTTAAAAATTTTGGTTTTGGTTTTGGTTTCTTGATGCTGTTATATGAAAAAACTTCTATTTCTGTTAAATTGATTCTTCTAAACTCTTGCTTCTACCTCCTTTCAAGCTTTAGCCCTTTCTCTTAAACATTTCTCTGATCATCTGAAAAATGAAATCAATTCTTTAGGTAAAGAAGTCTGTTGCCATTCTCACTTGTCCTATCACCTCCCTACAAAGAAGGATAGAAACTTTAGTTTGGATAACAACACTTTTTGGACMGATATCAGAACACTTGTTAGCTTAATAGACGTGAGTCAAATTTATCAAACTCGTTTTTTAAGCATAAAAATGCATAAGTTTATCGTATAAAATGATATATGTTTAAAAATATGTTTTTTAATTAACATGCACGTGTTCTACATTTTTAGAAAATGTGTTGTATTGTGTACGTGCTTCTTAGCCTCTCTATACGACATTCAATAAAAATATTTGGTTTTATTTGCTTGTGGTAATTTGTCTTAACGGTTTTAAACATAATTCGATGCGGTCCCGCTAGTATAAAAAGAGACGTGACACTGAGGGGCGGACCATTGAAACCGTTTTCTTCTCTTTAATCATTATATCACTGTTTTGTTTCAGTGAAAACTATGGCAAATAAAATCAAAAGAAAAACCACAAGTTTGATATTATATAGGTTAAATTGTCACTTTTTCATATAGCATGGACCCATTGAGATTATTTTCTCAAACTTAATAAAAAAAAAAATGTCTGAAAAAAGAGGGGATGGCAGTAGTTGTTCATGGGTACATGAAATGGAAACATATTGTTTGGATTTGCTTTGAAATGGTGTAGCTGAAGTTGTCTGATGATTGGTCCCTCCTGTCTGTGGTTTGGTTCAAAAGCTAAGGGAAGAAGGACATTGCCTTTGCCTTTCCCAAAAGAAAATGGAATTCTATCTCTCGACGCGTAATATTTACATTTCTTCTCTTATCGATTTGTCGAGTATTGTTGTCAATAGCTTTATTCAAGGCGTTCCTTTTCTTTCTTTCTCTTTTTTGGATCATATCAACGTTTATCTTGTAGCTTGGCATGATGTATTAATTTTCACCATAAAATTTTGATTTCATCAAATTGAATCATAGACACGGACAACTGTCGAGATCTATATCATATATTCAATCTTTGCCAATGTTGTTCGGTTTCACTAAATTTAACTAAAGTAGGGTGAAAATCTTACCAAACTCAGTAATTTAAACAAAAATAAATATTAACACAAAATTAAACTTTATTCATTTTCACTTTAGTCAACCTATATGTAATTACTCGGTATATATAATTGGAGCTATGATATTTATTTGGTAAAAACAAAATATTGTTAAGGACTAAAATGATTATGTTTTATAGATTTAAGATGAAAGTAAAATTAACTTTAGACTTCAATGTCTAAAAAAATTAAGTTTTAAAGATTAAAATAGAATAATTTTAAAAGTATGTGGACTGAAGTTAATCTTTTAATATCTCGATACATGATCCTATATTTGATTAATCATAATGATAGTTAATTAATCATGATGTAGATATTGATCAATCAATCATGACAGGATTGACACATTATTTTTCTAATTGAGTTAGTAAATATTTTAAAATTAATATAGTTATCTCAATTATGACAGAATATTTTGGCACCCCAAAGATGAAAATAAAGTAAAAGACAACCGATAACATCTAGTTTTCACACAAAAGTAAATTGAGGGCCCAAATCGAAAAAGGAGGAAAAAGAATATTATTGAAGTACAATTATCTATGAGGAAAAAAACAGAACATTAAATTGTTACTATGATATTTGTAAAATACAACCTAAACTATCTAATAAAAAAGAAATCTAACAATTAAACTAGTTTTCTAAAAGAAGAATTTTTCTTTTAAGGACAAAAAAGAAAAAAGAAGAATAGATGGTCTCAATAGCATAGAAGTTAAATATAATTTGACACATCGACGTGATGATTTGACACGATGTTTGCAACAAGTGATACAAATAATAGACAACTTAGATAAAATAAGGAGGGTCGACCGGAGAAAAATTAGATTTTAAAATATATATGAAATATTCAACAATTTGCGTATCGAGACAATTAAAGTCATAGACCTATGAGAAATGGGAAATCTTTCTCTTGTTACATGAATCTAATTTTCATTTCATTCGGGTAAAACACTTTTTTCCTCAACAATATCTTTGTCATTTGATCCAATAGCGTTCCGTTAGATGGTAACAAATTTGATAAATACTGATAACTTTCGGATGGAGTATAGAACAGAAAAATCCATTAGATAATGAACTATTGGTTTAAGCCATCTTTGACGATGAATCAACAATTCGAAGTATTTTTCTTTCTATGTCGTCTTAAGTTGACAGATTCTTTTCATTCAAAGATCTTCTATAACATTCCAATTCACCGAGCCTAATTCTAATTATCAAATCCAAAACTTTAGGAGTATAATTTAAATGGTCTAAAGTTCAAATACTAAATAGACGATTTAACCTAGAAAATGTAAGAGCGAAAACGAGAGAAGTGTGAAAAATAAGGGCAAAACTAGAATTTTGATTATAATAAATTTATAATTTTAAATTCATGGAATAAATTTTATAGTTTTATTGTCCCAATTATTAGTGTTTAAAATTTGATAATAATAAACAAAAGGTTTCAGTTTCAGCCCTAATCACGGAGCTACAGTCGCGTTCACGAGAGAGAGACACACACACAACTTTCTCTTTTTACCGCACAATAAGAGACAACCAACGCAGCGGCGACTGCAATTTATTTATTTATTTTTAAATAAAAACAATTATTTTTTAAATTCCATGTAGCTCGTGAGCTTTGAAAATGATAAATAATAGCAAATTTTTTATATAACAAAATATTTTGTAAAAATGACATAAATGTTAAGAATCCAACTTTATTTAGGTAGATCAATTTTCCACTTTATTAATTGTAAAAAATGGTTGGTATATCAGTGACACACGAAGTAAAAAAATTGTCCTATTAAAGACAACGATACCAAAGTATCGATGGTATGATATTGTCTGCTTTAGGCATAATCTCACGACTTTACTATTAATTTCATAAAAAGACCTCGTACCAAAATAATTGTCCTCATCTACATAGATTATACTCTTTCCTAATTAATGTGAGATTTTGTTTGTGTTCCTACACAAATCTAACAATTTTTATAGGTTAATTTTATCTTTTTTAAAAGTCGAAGAAATAAAATGTTTATTTTTTAAAAAAGTTTATGGGCTAAAATACCTCAAAGTTGAGTTTTTTAGTATAATATATTAAAAAGGAGTTAAAAAGTATATATCAATTACTGTTGAACTATGCTCGTTTTGACTCTCCATCAAAATTGAGTCGAGGTTGAGATAAAAGATTTGAACATTTTTTCTAAAAATCTAAAAGTAATAATTTTATTTTATTTACTTATTAACGCCGTTGTCTTTCTACTGAAGCTATTCTCCGCCACAACTTGCGCTATCTCCATGACCCGACAAAACTCCCGAATACGGCGTCGTTTTCATTACCCCCCAATCCGATTCCGTTCCAATGCTCAAACTCACTCTCTTCCATATA